CATCATCATCATCATCACCACCACCACCACCACCACCACCACCACCACCACCACCATCATCATCATCATCATCATCATCATCATCATCATCATCGTCGTCATCATCATCATCATCATCATCATCAGCATCATCATCATCATCAGCAGCATCATCAGTATCATCATCCTCCTCCTCCTCCTCCTCCTCTTCCTCCTCCTCCATCTCCCCTTACTCCTCCCCGTCCTCATCCTCCTCCTCCTCCTCCTCCTCCTCCTCCTCTTCCTCCCCCTCCTCCTGTTCCTCCTCATCCTCATTCTCCTCGTCCTCCTCATCCTCCTACTCCTGGTCATGCTCGTCCCCTTCATCCTCCTCCTCATCATACTCCTCATCCTCATCATCCTCATCCTGGCGAGCGGCCGTCACGGCTCGCCTTGGAGCCCTTCATGAACAGCATAACTGGAGAGAAGCCGATCAGCTGCCGAAGCCTGTGAGAGGGGGGAAGGGGGGGAAAGCAGGCACATGCAAGGTAGGGACTACGAAGAGCTGCATGATTCGTTGAGACGGTATGCGGAATGTGTGAAGAAGTTCGTCGTCCTCCTCCCCCGCCTCATCCTCCTCATCCTTATCATCGTCAGCACCATCGTCAGCAGCATCAGCATCAGCATCAGCATCATCATCATCATCATCATCATCATCATCATCATCAGCATCATCATCATCAGCATCATCATCATCAGCATCATCATCATCATCATCAGCATCATCATCATCATCATCATCATCATCATCATCAGCATCATCATCGGCATCAGCATCATCAGCATCATCATCATCAACATCATCATCAGCAGCATCGTCATCATCATCATCATCATCATCAGCAGCATCATCATCGTCATCATCATCCTGATCAGCAGCATCATCATCATCATCATCATCATCATCATCATCATCATCATCATCATCATCGTCATCATCATCAGCATCCACCTCCCCCTCCTCATCATCATCAGCAGCATCAGCCTCAGCATCATCATCAACAACATCGTCGTCATCGTCATCAGCAGTATCGTCATCATCATCAACATCAGCATCAGCATCATCATCAGCAGTCTCAGCATCCCCAACATCAGCACCATCATCATCCGCATCAGCATCATCATCATCAGCATCAGCATCAGCATCATCATCATCAGCATCATCAGCCGCAGCCGCATCATCAGCATGTTCCTCATCCTCATCCTCATCCTCCTCCTTCTCCGCCTCCTCCTCCTCCTCCTTATCATGTGCATCATCCTCCTCATCCTCCTCCTCCTCGTCATCATCCTCCTCCTCTCCTCCTCCTCCTCCTCCTCCTCCTCCTCCTCCTCCGCCTCGTCCTCTTCCTCTTCCTCCTCCGCCTCCTCCGCCTCCTCCCTCCCTCCTCCTCCTCCTCATCCTCCTCATCCTCCTCCTCCTCCTCTCCCTCCTCCTCCTCCGCCTCCTCCTCTTCTTCCTCCTCCTCCACTTCCTCCCGCTCCTCCTCCCCCTCTTCCTCCGTCTCGGCATCCTCCTCATCCTCATCCTCCTCATCCTCCTCGTCCGCCTCCTCCTCCTCTTCCATCCCCCTCGTCCTCATCATCCTCCTCATCCCCCCTCCTCAACCTCCTCCAGCTCTTCCTCCTCCTCCTGCCGCTCCTCCTCCTCCTCCTCATCCGCCTCTTCCTCCTCCTCCGATTCTTCGTCCCCCTCCTCCTTCTCCCCGTAGCCATTTTGGCTCAAGTTCCCAACGTCGCTCCCGCGCTGGGAGCTTGTGTGCAGCCAAGGGAGCGGCTCGAGGCTCCTGAACTTTTTCGCCCCACAGGGGGGCATCTGTGAGCTCCTGGAGGAGCAAGCTCCCGTCCTGCAGTGCATGCAATGGCGCAGCGGGGCAAGGGCATCAATGGTTGGCGCAACTATCGTCCTCGCAGTCGTGTCAATGATTGGCGGGGGCATCAGAGTACCTACAGTGTGTGCAGCAAGTGTGGCCATTGGGAATGGGATTGGCGAGGTCACGCTTGGTGCAGTGTATGTAAGTCCGCATATAAAGGGTACGAACAACCGCATGGGCTTCCTGGTGGTCTTTCCGAGCATGCTGGTGGAGGGCAAGGTGCAGTTCCCTCCGCTCTCGCAGATCAAGCCCGTGCCGCACTTGTTCAATTTCCTGAGCTTCAATCTCTTCTGGCGGCGGCGCTTCCACCTGAACCGCTACCTGCAGTCCCTACCAGTGTGGAGTTGGAATCCTTGGTGGCGGCGAAGCGTACGGAGCTGGCCAAAGAGGTTGAGCAAGCCGCAAAAGAAGAAAGGCTGGCATGGCAAGACCGCAGTGCCCGTCAAGACGCCTTGGCGAAAGCAAGGGAGAAAGTGGCGCAAGCTGAATCCGCTTTCCAGATGGCCTCTGCTGGATTGGAAGAAGCACGCAACAAGCTCAACATCGCCAAGGAGATGCAGAACAATTTCAATGAAGAAGAATTCAAGCTTCGGACCAAAGCTGCTGCTGAAGCCGCCCGCGCTGCTGGAGCCCCTGTACCCGGTGAAGCTCAAGGATCCCAAGATGTTCCCATGGCAGGACCAGCTGGTGGACCTGACGGTGGAGGACATCATGCTCCTGCAGCAAGTGGTGATATTGGCAGCTCTGGTAATCAACCTACTTACGATCCTGACATCGTTTCACGCCTTCACGAACTCTCTGACGAAGAACTTCGGAAAGTGGCTGATTCTACAAAAGTTCCCTTCTCTGAGTGGCAGCAGCTACGGTCCGCGCAGATGGCGGCCAAGAACCTTCTTCGTGGTGGTGCAGAGCATGCTGTTCCTGGTCTTAATGATGATGATGAGGATTTGGACGCTACTGAGCAGGCTGAAATTCGTGAGCTCCGCAAGAGGCCTGCGGAGCAGGTTTCCCCAGCAGATTTGGAGAGGCTGGAGGCCCTCCTCACAAAGAAGTTCGAGGCCAAGGCGGACAAGCGCCTTCGGGTTTCGGACTACGCTACTAATCTCTTTGTCAGCAGCTTTGCTAAGCTCGCCGCCCCCCAGGCAGTACCACCCCAGCAGCTGCTTTAGCAAGGCCGCAGGAAGCCTTGACGTGAGGTTCTGCAACATTTCGAGTTGGTCTGCTTTGGCCAAGGGGGAGATCTCGAAAGCTGTTGGACAGACTGACATCTTCTTGTTTGCGGAACATCACGTTAAGCACGATCGATTGGCCACTTCTAAGAAGGATTGTTCCCAGATGGGCTGGCGCCCACACTTCCAAGCAGCACTTCCTAGTCCAGGAGGTGGCACTCATGGAGGAGTTGGAGGAGTTGTTCAAAAAGGTATTTACTGTAAAAAATATCTTCGGTCGGCTCTTGGAGGAGCCCAGGATTTCGGATCGGGGGAATGTTGGTTCTTCCTCGAATTGAAAACTCACGGTGTGTCCATGGCTATTGGGGTTATCTATCTCATTTCCGATTTGGGTCTCGTTGGGGACAATTTGAAGCGATTGCAGCAAGTGACTGACTTCTTGCGCATGATTAACACCCCGTTCCTCTTGCTGGGTGATTTCAATATGCCTGCAGTGGATCTGCATGAGTGCGGGTTTTGTGAGCTTGTGAATGGTGTGGTGGTTGAACCCATGAATGTCGATTTTACATGTGATAAAGGTTCTGGTACCATGATCGACTATGGAGTGATTTCTCGTTCCCTACGGCCATATGTTTCGATGAATGCTGATCTTACCTCGAGTTTCAAGACGCATGCTTGTCTACATGTCCACCTCTCACTTGGTATCCTGTCTATTCCGGTATGTAAGCGGGACAAACCACCACGCTTCCTTCCTGCCGTCGGGCCTGACCTGCCATGGCAAGTGCATTTGCTACGTGTCCCCCATCAGCAAGTTTCTGTTCCTGCTGAAGTGCGTTCGGCATTTCTTCCTTTTCACGGAGCTGGGCCTCCAGGACCGCTGTCTGAAGGGTATCAAAGATGGTCAGTTGCCGCCGAAAACCTGATGTTGTCTCGGTCCTGTCAGGAGTCCCTTGAGGGACAAAGAGGTCGTGGGGTCCAGTTTCGGTCTGGAAAACTTGGCAGGAGGGGACCCCTTCGGCAGGGCTTTGCGTGCCCGACGCTGGCCTTTTGGTCTTTTGTGTCTTCCAGGTTGTTTGATTTGAAAGTTGCCCTGAAGCGAGGAGGAACTCCGCGCCTCTCCGCCCTCAGGAATGTCTTAATTCAACGAGCTGACGAGGTCGGCCAGCACATCTCCGCCCTGGCGAACGCCAGGCAGGCCCAGGTGTGGGCTGAACGTCTAAAGGACCCCCCCCTTGACCCTACCTCTGTTGAAGTGATGCAAGAAGGGCTGGAGCCCATCCTTCGTCGTGCGTGGACGCAGGCTCGAGAAGCTGGTCAAGGTTGCATTAAGAAATGGTTGTCTGAGGGTCTTAAGGGGGGAGCCAAACCCATCCATCGTTGGTTGAAGCATGGATCTAAGCAGGAGGTCGAATTCCTCATCGATCAAGGTAAGGTGGCCCAATCCCCCAGTGAGATGCTTGAAGTGCGAGAGCTGTTTTGGGAGAAGTGGTGGACCCCATCTAGTAGTCAAATTGAGTCCCTCGTGTATAGCATGGGTCAGTTGCGACACGAGGCGGCCGTTGAGGCCTCTGGGTTAATCCCGATCCAACCGCAAGATGTCATGCGGGTCTGCAAGTATTTCCCTGCCGACACTGGCCTTGGAGTCGAGTGTTGGTCGCCTAGGGATTTTTTGCAGTTGCCGCAGGAAGCTTTGCAGGACCTGAGTGACCTTTTCAATGCGTTCGAATACACCCAAAGCTTCCCTGTGCAAGTCTACCTGTGTCTTGTGGCGCTTATTCCTAAGACTGTTTGCACGGAACGGCCTATCACCAAATGCCCCACCTTGTATAGGATGTATACTAAGCTCAGGGGTGACCGAATTTTGGACTGGACTGATTCTCACGTTGCCTTTTGGGATGCTGCTGTGAAAAAATCCTCGGCCCTGAGAGCGGCCATGGTCCGCGAGTTGGTCCACGAAATCGCCCGTGAGGAAGGATGCCAGTCCCTTTCGGCTCACTGGGATATGGAAAAAAAATTTGATTCTATCGACCCCTCTAAGTTGGTCAGGCTTGCCAGAGAGGTCGAATATTCCGCCCTCATGCTGTACATGGGGCTGCTGATCCACACGGCCCCCAGGGTGCTCGAGGTGGAGTCCCTAGTGTCTCGTGTCCTTGGAGCAGGACAATCTATCCTGGCAGGGTGTTCCCAGTCTATGCCTTGGATTAAATGCTACCTGTACGACATTTTGGAAACCGCCCACCAGAGGATCCCGAAAGTCCCCATCTTTGCTTATGTGGATGACTTAACCCAATCCCTTCAAGGGCGTGCTGAAGCTGTAGCTCATACTATTGTCCCAGCTATTGTTGAGTTACACCAAGCTCTTGTTGATAGAGGTTGTGTTATCTCGTCTAAGTCGTGTATTGTGGGTTCTAATGTTGGTTTGGCTAGAACTGTGCACCAAAAATGCGTTAGTTTGGGGCTTCCACTTACCATGAAAGACACTACTAAAGATTTAGGTGTTGCTACCACGGCGGGAAGGAGGAGGACGATGTGGAAAATGAAACAACGGCAGGCTGAGGGTGCACGACGTTCCAAAAAGCTATCCTTCTTGGCTGGCATTGATAGAAAGGCGAAGCGACTGTTTAAGCCAGCTGTGCAGGCTGTTTCAACTTGGAGTCACCAAGTGCTTGGCCTCCCGCCTTCTATTGTTCAGCGGCTTCGAGGTCAAGCTGCTAAAGCATCAGGCATATGGGCTTCAGGTGGATGCTCCACTACGATTTTATCGATCAATAATCCGATGCGAGACGACCCTGGGTTTAGACTTCGATATGAACACCTGCTTGAGTGGGGGAGAACCTGGACCGCCCTGATGCCGAAGCAAAAGATGAGTGTAAACAATGGATGGAGCAATCTCGTAACTAGGTTCAATGGAATCGACCCGACTTCCCGATGGCGACGTGTTAGGGGACCTATCGCTGCCGTTATCGTGTGTATCTTGGACCTCCATGGGCTACCTGAGTCCCCCATTTCTTGGAGATTCCCTGGGCCATATCATGTGAAAGCGGATTCGGGCGATTTCAGATTTTTCTTGTGGCACGCAGTCTTCCTTGCTGTTTCGCGTGAAGTTTGGCAACGGGCTGCTGAGCACTTCTGTGGAGAAGGACTCCGTGGAGGTGTTGATTTTACAGTTTTTAAGCAGCTCCACGCCTCCCTGAAGAAGAATGGAGATGGAGAAGGGGCCGCATTGCTGACGAACTTGGTCATAGGTGGACAGTGGCCTGAAATGAGATTAAAAGATTCTGGGTATGAAAGCTCTGGAGTGTGTCCTAGGTGTGGGTTGGCCCCAGAGACCCCTTTCCACCGATTTTGGGAGTGCGACGACAACAACAATATTGAGGACTCTGCGATCCGACTTACTGATCGATTTGTCGATGACGCCCGCCAAGGGGCCAGTGACGCTTCCTGTTTTTGGACCCGAGGGTTGGTCCCCATGGGCTGGACGCTGGATGATCTTCCAGATGGGCAGCTTCGTGTCTGGGCCTGGGGATCGTTCCTGGAGGTGATCAGTTCTGGAGTTAAAATCGTCGGAGGAGTTTTTGGAACCGATGGTTCGGGAGGAGAACACGGCAGAGATTGGAGGCTGAGGAGATGTGGATGGTCAGTTGTTCACTTAGACCCTGATTCGCTTGAAGTTCGAGGTGTCCTTTGTGGTACTTTGCCCACTGTCGGTATGTGTGTGCAAAGTTCCCCCCGAGCCGAACTGTTTGCGCTTCACCAGCTGTTGGTCTACACTGAGGGCCCAATTCATGTGTACATCGACTACCAGCCTATTGTGGCGGCCTTCAGAAGGAAGGGTGCACGAGTGGACGACTCTACCATGTTGGACTTGTGGCAAAAAGTGTGGACAACACTAGAAGTTCGATCGGGTGATGTACGTGCTACCTGGGTCAAGAGTCATCCTACCAGGAACCAGATCGACCAGTACCAGATCTCCCCTCACGGCCTTGTTGCTAATTCGGTTGCTGACGTATTCGCTGGGGTGGCTGCCGAATGGGGGGCCTTAGATTCTGATTTAGTCAAAACAGTGCATAATGTAGACTCATGTTGTGGCCTCGTGTTGCAGCGGCTCCTAGCTATCAGTCGTCACGTGTCGTTGACGTGTGGTCGTTCCCGCCAAGATAGACTAGGCCGCGAGCAACACAAAGAGAAGGCCAAAATGACTAGTGCCAGCCAGCGTAAAGCCCGCCTTGTTGAACAAGGCCATGTAGTTGTCAAGATGAGCACCATTTTTAAATGTAAGTTGTGTGCTAGGCGTTTCCCTGCTTTAACGGGTCGCTTGGACAAATTTTGGCCTGAGGCCTGTTCAGGCCCTGCGGTGTTGGGTCCCGCTTCGAGGGATGGGTCCTCTGCTGGGATCGGTCCGTGGAGGCCTGTCGGGACCGAAGGTGGTCACCATCCGAGCGTTCCCCTGTGCCACTCCTCACACCAGCTGCACGTGTTTCGAGGGGTGTTATTTTGTGCTGCATGTGGAAATTTTTGTGTAGGGACCCCAGTGAATCTTGCTGCGATCTGCCCCCTGCGTGACCAGGAGCGCCCCAGGCCCTGTAGCACTACGGGGAGGCAGAACCTCAGCAGGCTGCGGAGGGGTCTCCCGCCTAAATACGGCATGAGTTTCCCTGAGATGTGATTGTTTAGTAGGGGCTGAGCTTGCACTCAGGAACCCGCCACGAGGAATTCCAGGAATTCCCTCCTCCTTCTCCGCGTCCTCCGATTCCTCCTCCTCTTCCTCCTCCTCCTCCGCCTCATCCGCCTGCTCCTCCGCCTCCTCCGCCTCCTCCTCCTCCTCGTCCTCCTCCTCCTCCTCCTCCTCCTCCTCATCCTTATCATCATCATCATCATCATCATCATCATCATCATCATCATCATCATCATCATCATCATCATCATCATCATCATCAGCATCATCATCATCATCATCATCACCACCATCAGCATCATCATCAGCATCGTCATCATCAGCATCATCACCAGCCTCAGCAGCATCAACATCATCACCATCATCAGTATCGTCAGTATCATCATCACCACTACCACCACCATCATCATCAGCAGCAGCATCAACATTAGCAGCATCATCAGAATCATCACCATCGCCATCATCATCAGCATCATCATCATATCAGCATCAGCATCATCATAATAATAAACATCGTCATCATGTTGGACACCACAACCATCATCAGCAGCATCATCATCAGCAGCAGCATCAGCATCATCACCATCATCAGCATCATCATCTTCAGCATCATCGGTGTCATCATCATCATCATCATCAGCAGCATCAGCATAATCATCATCATCAGCAGCATCATCGCCATCCTCAGAATTATCAACAGCATCAGCATCAGCATCATCATCATCAGCATCAGCAGCATCAGCACCATCATCAACATCGTCAGCAGCATCAGCATCAACAACCTACTATGACTCCTCATCTGGATCAGCATGATCCGCATCATCCACCTCCTCGTCCTCAGCATAATCATCAACAGCGGCATCCGCAACACCATCAGCAGCAGCAGCAGCATCAGCAGCATCATCAGAATCAGCATCCGCATCGTCAACATCAGCGTCAGCATCGTCATCAGCATCATCAGCCTCATCAGCAGCAGCATCATCATCAGCAGCAGCAGTAGCATCATCAACATCCTCAGCAGCATCGCAAGCATCCTCAACATCAGCCTCAACACCAGCATCATCAGCATGAACAGAATAGTCAGTATCAGCATCATCAGCATCAGCAGCATCAGCAACATCAGCATCATCATCATCAGCATCCTCATCAGCAGCATCAACAACAACAACATCGGCAGCAGCATCATCATGCAGCAGCAGCATGAGCAGCATCCGCAGCATCATCAATATCATCAGCATACGCATCATCAGCCTCATCATCCGCATCAGCATCATCACCAGCGGTATCACCATCATCATCATCGCCAGCATCATCATCATCACCAGTTGCATCATTATATCATTCATCAGTATCATCATCAGCATCATCATCATCCTCATCAGCATCATCGGAGTCAGCATCAGCAACACCCTCCTTCTCCACATCGTCCTCTTCCTACTCTTCCCCTTTCTCCTCCACCTCCGCAGCCCCCTCGTCCTCCTCCTCCGCCTCCTCCTCCTCATCATTCTCCTCCTCCTCCTCAACCTCCTCCTCCTCCTCCTCCTCCTCCTCCTCCTCCTCCTGCTCCTCCTCCTCCGCCCTCCTCCCCCTCTCTCCGCCTCCTCCTCCTCTCCGCTTCCTCCTTGCTCGTCCTCTCCCTCCCTCATCCTCCTCCTCCTCCTCCCTCCTCCTCCTCCTCCTCCTCCTCCTCCTCTTCCTCCTCCTCCTCCTCGTCTTCCTCCTCTCCTCCTCCCTCTTCCTCCCTCCTCTTCTTCCTCCTCCGCCTCCTCCTCCTACTCTTCCTCCGCCTCCTCCTCATCGCCCTCCTTCTCCTCATTCTCCTCCTTCTCCTCCTCCTCCTCCTCCTCCTCATCGTCCTCCCGTCCCCATATCGCTTGTACTCCTCCTGCTCCCCCGCCTCCTCATCCTCCTCCTCGTCCTCATCGTCCTCGTCCACCTCCTCCTCCCCGCCCTCCCCCTCCCATCTCCTCCTCACCTCTCCTATACGGTCCTCGCCTCTCATCTCATCTCCGCACCTCTCCTCTCTCCTCTCTCCCCCATCATCCTCCACCCGGCCCTCCTCCACCCTCCCTCCTCCATCCGCCTCATCTCAATTCCCGTTCCATGCTCCCCATTCCCTCCTCCCTCCTCCGCCATCCTTCCCCGCCTCCTCCTCCTCCTCCTCTTCATCCTCCTCGTCTCCTGCTTCTGATCCTCCTCGCTTCTGCTCCTCCTTCCTCCTCCTCCTCCGCCTCGTCCTCCTCCTCTACTCTCTCCCCTTCCTCCTCCTCCTCCTCATCATCATCATCATCATTCATCATCATCATCACATCATCATCATCATCATCATCATCATCATCATCAATCATCATCATCATCATCAGCATCAGCATCATCATCATCATCAATCATCATCAGCATCATCGTCCATCATCATTCATCATCATCATCATCATCATCATCATCATCATCATCACATCATCATCATAATCATCATCATCATCATGCTCCTCCTCCTCGTCCTCCTCCTCCTCCCCTCCTCCTCCTCCTCCTCCTCCTCCTCACCCCCTCCCCTCCCCCCCTCCTCCTCCTCTCCTCCTCCTCCTCCTCCTCCTCCTCCTCCTCCTCCTCCTACCCTCCTCCTCCTCCTCCTCCTCCTCCTCCTCCTCCTCCTCCTCCTCCTCCTCCTCCTGCTCCTGCGCCTCCTCCTCTCCTCCTCCTCCTCCACCTCCTCCACCTCATCCTCCTCCTCCCTCCTCCTCCTCCTCCTTCTCCTCCTCCTCCTCCTCTTCCTCGTCCTCCTCCTCCTCCTCCTCGTCTTCGTCTTCGCATTCGTATTATGAGTATTGTCATTACTATTTTCGTTATGTGTAGTATTCTCATTCGTTTGATAATTACCCTTGCCTCTGTAGGGGTTCTAGCGGGTGCATATGCTTAGGTGAGGCACGGCGCCGATTTCGGCGGCACGCCCGGGCACCCGGGCACCCGGGCACTCCCCCTCAGCGTCACGCCGCCCTCCCCCTCCTCCTCCTCCCCTCCAGGCTCCACCCTCCCCTTGCGGGTGAGGCACCGAAAGCCTCCGCGGCGGCGCCGAGGCCCACACCCCTGGCCCAGTCCGCCTCTCCTGCCCCGCCAGGCCCACCCCTCGGCCGTCCGCTTCCCCAGGGAGGGACGGCAACAGTGGCAGGCCGACGACGACGACGAAGACGACGATGATGACGAGGGAGAGAACGAAGACGATGAGGACGATGAGAACGATGAAGAGAAAGGGGACTTGGACGAGGAGGGCGAGGAGCACGAGGAGAAGGGAGGTCTGGAGTTGTAAGAGCCAATCAGGATGGCTCGCTGCACCCAGCACGGACGCTCGCACGACAGCTGCGCTCGCAGCGGCCTGGATTTTTCTGGCCCCCGTGGTGTGGGAGGCGCTTCTTTAGCGCTGCGTGATACACTTCTACATGTGTCTCTTCGCCTTGCGCGGCCGTGCACGGAATTACCAGGCACCGCACACCTGGAGCCGACCAGTACAGGTCGGCGCCCTTGCTCAGCTTGCTGCCGCAGCAGAGCAGCGCCCTTATTCGGCCAGCTCCCTTGCGAGGCCACGCGCTACTCAGGTCGCACGTCGTAACAACTCAACAAAAAACAGTAAACAAATCCTACAGGCAACTCCATTTCCCCTGGGCGGCGAACCTCAGGAGCGCATGAACGTAGTCCCTCAGAACCACACATTCCTTTCTTCAGGGCTCAATGCTTTCGTGGTCCGACATCGACTTGAAAACGTCGACGACCCATCGTCGTTTTGATGTGTTCGGCCGCGTGCTTTGAGCTTTGGATGCTGGCGTGGATCCCAAGATAATGCTCGCCACATCCATTGCCCTGGCGCGCAGTTTGCGACTCGTGGAAGCCATCTCCATGTATTGCATCGATGTTGCGTAACTCAATCAGCAGTATTGAGGTACGTGAAGTAGTCATGCGCCTCCCGCATGATTCCTCTAACCCAGCCCACACAGCCATCCCGAATGCTCCACTGGGACGGCGAGGACGAGGAAGAGGGAGAAGGGGAGGATGACGACGAAGACGACGACGACGACGACGACCACGACGACGACCACGACGACCACGACGACGACGACGACGACGACGACGACGCCGCCGCCGCCGCCGCCCGCCGCACCGCTGCCGAGGCCCCCCGGCGGCCGCCGAAGGCCCTCGCCCCCGCCGGGCCGCTGCAGGGCCGCCGGGGGGGGGGCTGCGGCGGCGGGCGCCCTCCTGGAGTGCAGGTCGCCCGCCTCGACCTCGCCGCCGCCGGCGTCCTCCTCGCGGACGGCGGCCCGAGGCTCTCGGGGAGGGCGGGGCGGGGAGAGGGAGAGGGGGGGGGAAAGGACAAGCTCAGCGCGCTGGCACCATATCTGACATCCTGCCCCTCCCTCCCGCCCCTTATCCATTGTGCTGATAGTGCCTCTCTCCGATCGTCAGTATCATGTCATCAGCATCATCATCATCAGCATCATTACCCCAGTGCGACCCTACCTAGGAGTTGGAGCCCCTAGGAAAGCAGCATTAGTAGTAACGGTAAGCGCCGTCCTCCTCCTTCTCCTCATCGTCGTAGTTGCCTTTGCTTTTGCTTGTTGTTGCTTTTGCTTGATTTTGCTTGATTTTGCTTTTGCTTTGCCTTCGCACACACACGCACGTTTTTGCATTCGCTCACCGGGTGGGCTCTCTGATCGTACTGTTGCAAATTGCTTTTGCTTTGCCTTTCCTTTGCTTTGCTTTTGCGTTGCTTTGCTTTGCGTTGCTAGTGCTTTGCTTTGCTGTTGCTGTTGCTGTAGCTTAGTTATGCTCATCTAAGCTAAGCTAAGCTAAGACAAGCTACAGGTAAGCGAAGCTAAGATGAAGCTAAGCTAAGCTAAGCTAAGCTAAGATGAGATACGCAAAGCTAAGATAAGGGGGCGCAACTGGGGGAACCGCGGGGCGGGGACCGGGGGGACCGCCCGGGGCGAAGCCCACTGCCAGGCCCCTTTAAGCTACTAGAGTAAGAACCCTCTAGGCAGAGCCTAGGTAGGGAATCATCATCATCATCATCATCATCAGCATCATCATCATCATCATCATCAGCAGCAGCAGCAGCATCATCATCAGCAGCAGCAGCATCAGCATCAGCATCAGCATCAGCATCATCATCAGCATCATCATAATCAGCATCATCAGCATCATCAACGTCAACAGCAGCATCAGCATCATCATATCTATAGATCATCATCAGCATCATCATACCTGTCATCATCATCATCAGCAGCAGATCATAATCATCATCATCATCATCATCATCATCATCATCATCATCATCATCATCAACAACATCATCAGCAGCAGCAGCAGCAGCAGCAGTATGGTCATCATTAGCAGCGTCATCATCAACATCAGCATCAGCATCAGCATCAGCATCGTCATCATCATCATCATCGTCATCATCATAAACAGCAACATCATCATCAGCATCATCAGCATTATAATAAGCATCATGATCAGCAGCAGCACCATGATCATCATCAGCATCATCGTCCTCATCAGCAGCACCATCATCATAATCGTCGTCATCATCATCAGCAGCATCATCACCACCACCATCAACATCGTCATCATCATCAACACCATCATCAGCATAATCATAATCAGCATCATTGTTATCACCATCATCGTCATCACCATCATCTGCAGAATCAACATCACCGTCATCGGAATCGTCTTCGTCATCGTTTTCGTCATCGTCATCATCATCATCATCATCATCATCATCATCATCATCATCATCATCACCATCAGCATCAGCATCGTCATCATCAGCATCATCATCAGCAGCAGCATCGTCATCGTCATCATCAGCATCAGCATCAGCAGCAGCAGCATCCTCGTCATCATCATCATCAGCAGCATCAGCAGCAGCAGCATCCTCGCCACCCTCTATTCCCCCATCACGCTGCCCTCCGCTCCCCCCCCCCCCTGCACCCCGCGGCTCCTGAACGAAGGGCCTGGTTGCCAGGGCCTTCGCCTTCTCCAGCAGCCTCGGGCGGCGGCGGACTCCCCAGCGGGAAGGAGGAGGAGGACGAGGAAGGCGAGGAGAGGGGGGGGGGGCAGGACAGAAGGAGGAAAAGCAGGGGGGGCACAGGAGGAGGCCCATGTGGAGCGAGCAGGAGGGAGGACGATAAAGACAGGGGGGGAAGACCTCCCACCGCCTCCCAAAATCTTCAATCGCACTCTTCCCCCTCTTCATTGTCACGCATCCTCCTCATCACCGTGCGCTGCGTGCGCGAGCGGGCAGAGTCTGGGAGTGCGACCTTGTACCCCACCCATGAATCGCGTGAGGGGGGCGCGAACTGCTCCGCGCCGCCACGCGCTTCGTACGGGGGGTGAGCAGAGTCCTAGGGGCGGCCATAGGCACCCGCCCTTGCGTTGCGTGCGAGGGTGCTCAGTTTCAAGCGCGCGGTCCTCCTCCTCCTCCTCCTCCTCCTCCTCCTCCTCCTCCAAGCCTGACCAAGATAAGAGGGCGGCTGGCCTTGGCATCATGAGACCATACACGTGCAACAGCTGCATGTGTCCACAAGTGGCCGTCCACAGGTCATTCGCCAGCCTCCGGCCATGCGCGTCAGGCTGCCAGTTTTGAAAGTCTGCTAGAAGGCAGCCCAAGGCTTTCTCGAAACAATGCCTTAACATCCGAGGGGGTGTTGCAGAATGTACCCCTGCCGATTGATACCTTCAATCTCGGCCACTAGCACATGGGTGTGGGTCGTACTCTCGACGTCAAGCATGCGGCCTATTGCCGGACAGCTACTGGACTCTGTTGAGCTGATCCCCCCAGCAAAAGTAGGTCACCACAGGGAGCGACTCAACCTGAGCGACACCACCCTTTGCAAACACTGGTGTGCACTCGCAAGCTGCCACAGCCTGGAGGACTTCTCTGCTGGTCGCCTCGTCCTCAAACACTGGTATAGGCACCTCCTCCAGCTCATCCTCCGCCTCCTCACCTTCCTTCTCCCCCTCCTCATCCCATTCATGCTCACACACATCCACCTCCGCATTCACCTCCTCCAATCCCCTCCTCCTTCACCTCCTCCTCCTCCTGCTCCTCCCATTCCTCCTTATCCTCATCTTCACCATCATCATCATCATCATCATCATCATCATCATCATCATCATCATCACCATCATTATCAGCAGCAGCAACAGCATCACCACCATATTCATCCTTGATCATCAGCAAAGTCATCATTCAACACCAATCACCATGGTCATCAACATCACCACCACCATCACCACCACCACCACCATCATCATCATCATCATCATCATCATCATCATCATCATCATCAGCATTAGCATAATCATGATCATCAGCATCAGCAGCATCATCATCATCATCGTCATCATCACCATCATCATATCAGCATCATCATCATCATCATCATCATCATCATCCACATCCCCATCATCACCATGACCAGCACCATCATCATTACCGTCGTCGTCGTCGTCCAGTTCCTCCTCGTCATCATCATCACCACCACCACCGCCATCCCCACCACCACCTCCATCATCATCAGCAGATCATAATCATCATCATCATCATCATCATCATCATCATCATCATCATCATCATCATCATCATCCTCATCAACATCATCATCATCATCATCATCATCATCATCATCATCATCATCATCATCATCATCATCATTAGCATCGTCATCGTCAGCATCATCATTATCCTCGTCGTCGTCGCCGTCGCCGTCGTCATCGTGACCCACCGCATCACCATCACAATCATCAGCACTGTCACCACCACCACCACCACAACCACAATCATCATCGGCATCGTCAGCATCACCACGACCACCACAACCACCACCACCACCACGGTCAACAACATAATCATCAGCAGCAGCAGCATCAGCATCATCAACATCGTCATCAGCATCATCATCAGCATCAGGATTACCATCATCATCATCATCATCATCATCATCAGCCTCATCATCAGAATCATCATCATCATGAACATCATCATCATCATCATCATCATCATCATCATCATCATCATCATCATCATCATCATCATCATCATCATCATCATCATCATCATCATCATCATCATCATCATCATCATCATCATCACCATCATCAGCATCATCATCATCAGCATCATCATCAGCATCATCAACAGCACCAGCATCGCCATCCTGAGCATCATCAGCATCAGCATCAGCATCATCATCATCATCATCGCCATCATCATCATCGCTGTCATCATCAGCATCAGCATCATTACCGTCGTCGTTGTCGGCATCGTCTCTATCGCATTCGTCATCGTCGTCGTCATCATAAGCATCGTCGTCGTTGACTCGGTGTCAGCAGCATCATCATCATCATCATCAGCAGCAGCATCATCCGCATCAGCATCATCAACACGATCATCAGCAGCAGCATCATCACCACCACCACCACCACCATCATCATCATCATCATCATCATCATCATCATCATCATCATCATCATCATCATCATCATCATCATCATCATCGTCGTCGTCGTCGTCGTCATCATCATCATCATCATCATCATCATCATCATCATCATCATCATCATCATCATCATCATCATCATCATCATCATCGCCATCATGAGCATCATCAGCATCATTATCAGCATCACCACCATCATCAGCATCATTGCCATCATCAGCATCAGCGTCATCATCGTCGTCGTTGTCGGCATCGTCTCTATCGCCATCGTCATCGTCGGCATCATCATAAGCATCGTCGTCGTTGACGCGTTGTCAGCAGCATCATCATCAGCAGCAGCAGCATCCGCATCATCACCACGATCATCAGCAGCATCATCATCACCACCACCACCGCCACCACCACCACCTCCATCATCACCATCATCACCATCATCATCACCATCATCATCATCATCATCATCATCATCATCATCATCATCGTCAACATCTTCCGCATCATCATTATGATCATCTTCAGCAGCATCATCACCATCATCATCATTAGCAGCATCAGCATCATCATCGTCGTCGATGTCGTCATCGCCGTCATCGCCATCGTCATAGACGTCATCATCAGCATCGTCGTCGCTGCTGTCGCTGGCATCAGCATCATCATCACCACCATCAGCATCATCATCACAATCGCCACCACAACCACCACCACCACCACCACCACCATCATCATCATCATCATCATCATCATCGTCGTCAAATCGTCAGAATCATCATCGGCATCATCATCAGAATCATCAGCACCATGATCATCAGCAGCATCATCACAAGCATCATCATCATCATCAGCATCATCAGCATCAGCATCGTCATCACATGCATGCTCATCATCATCATCATCATCATCATCATCATCATCATCATCATCATCATCCTAATCATCTTCATCACCAGCAGCATTCGGCCGTCGGCACACTTCTGCATCATCATCGTCACCATCATCAGCAGCAGCATCATCAACAGCAGCGACAGCAACAGCAACAGCAACATCGACAGCGAGAGCAACAGCAACAGCAACCATCAACATCAGAATCAGAACCCTACTTCAGCTCCTCTGCTCCCTCCTCACCTCCTCCACGGGCCCCCCCCCCCGTCCCTGCGCGCGCCCACCTCGGCGGGTCCGCCCCCGCGAGGGAGTCCACCTTCCTGCCCCTCGGGTCGAAGAAGGCCGCGAAGGGCACCTCTCCGCGGGGGGCTGCGGCGCCGCCCACAGACCGCCCCACCCCCGCCTGGCCGCTCGCCGCCCCGTCCTCGCCGCCCCGCCCCCCCCTCCCCCCCTTCCCCCTTCCACAGTTACACCATATGAGTACTACCATCCCTCTCTCCCTTGATGACGTCGGGAAAATGTTCGGCCCCCCTCCGCGTACTCTTGTTCTACACACAGGATTCCCGCGAGGTGGGTTTTGGCTTGGGTTTTGTTTCAACATGTTGCTCCCGCTGAAGCGCTGGCCCCATTCCTGCAGCTCTGGTTGTTCCAAATCGTGATCCCGCTGCAGCGCGGGCGTTTTCGGTTCTTCCAAATAGGCCTCGAAATCTAGAAAATGCCCCCCCGAAAAAAACATCAGAAGTGATTACACATTCGGTGTCGATTCGTTGAGGCATCGTCGTTGAGGCATCATCCCCTCCCCCTCCTCCCCCTCCTCATCCTCCTTCTCCTCCTCCTCCTCCACCTCCTCCTCCACATCCTCCTCCTCCCTCGTCGGGCGTGGCGCCTGGCTGGCCCCAAGGGAGGTGGCCAGGCTGGCGCAGACGTCCGTGTTCGCTTTGCCGAACCGCACGGACTTCTGCTCCGCCGCGATCGCGTCCAGAACCTCGGGCGGCGCGCGTTTGTCCACCGTTAGTGGACACAAAATCCACACCGATAATAAACACCCCGACGCGCGAAGCCATTTAGCGAACGTGCCCAAAGAAGGACTCGAACAGGGCAGGGCTGATTAGTAAACGCCCAGGGCCGTTTAGTAAACGCCAATTGTCCGGTCCGGGTGGTTTTTCCTCCCTTGAATCATCGCCGTGGTCTTCGTCGCCGCCATCGCCACACGCGAACACATGCTGGACATGTTTCGCTGGTCGTCTGGCAGTTCCCAAAGACGTGATAGGCGTCGCTAGAACCACGAGGCGAGAGTTGGTAGATTCGGTCGTTGTCACCATCTCGGAGAGAACGCTGTTCATGGACGCATGCTTGGAAAAAAACCCTTGACACGCACGTTGGAACGGGGGGGGGAAGGGGGGGGGGGGGGAGGGGGGGCAAAAAACATTCAGCGCCCCTGGGGAACTGGCCCCAACCCCCTGGACACCGAGCTCCCTAACTGCAAGGGGGGGGCGCCCCCCCCTCTCCGAGGGGAAGGGGGGTTCGAACAACGGAGGGGGAGCCCTGTCCAAGGGGGGGGTGTTCGAACTGGCCGGGGGGGAGGACTCTTGCAAGGGGGAAGGGTTCGAACCGGAAAGGGGGGCCCTGTGGCCCCCCTGTCCAGGAATGGGGTGGGGTTCGAACCGCCCCCCCGGGAGTTGCAAGGAGGGAAGGGGGGAGGGTGCAACGCAGCTCTACTAGTCCCAGTACACATAGATCGAACTGCACTAACATCCTGGTCGGGCTCGACCGAACTCTAGTAGAATTCCCCCTCTATCGGGCGGGTCGGTTTGGGCAGGCGGGACGTCAGATGCATGGTGTTCACTTGCTCGGTCGCTCGTTCGCTCGCCCGCTCGAACCAGCGCGGGAGCGAGCGAGCAAGTCGGGCGGTTCGCGTCGGGCGGGCAGGACATTGAATGCATGGTAATCGCTAGATCACTCGCTCGCTAGTTGGAGCAAGCATGCGAGCGAGCGAGCAAGGAAGGGGGGAGTCGGTCCTCTCGGTCGCTCGCTCGCTCGAGCGAGCGAGCGAGCGGCGAGTCGGGCGGGTCGGGCCGTGCGGGCGGGACAGTACATGCATGGCGTTCGCTTGCTCGCTCGCTCGCTAGATCCGAGTAAGCGAACGAGCCAGCGAGTCGGGCGGGTCGGATCGACCAGGCAGGACATTAAATGCATGGTGCTCGCTCGCTCGCTCGCATGCGATCGAGCGAGCGAACTATCGTAGTCGTCGTCGTCGGAGTTGCCGTCAGTCGTCCCCACCCCACACCTCTTCCCACGTCTCTTTCCCCTCGTTTCACCTTCCCTTCCTGTGGCATCCTCCTTGCCTGAATGTACGATCACCCTTGCCTTCATCCCACCTTCTCTCCTCCTCCTCCTCCTCCTCCTCCTCCTCCTCCTCCTCCTCCTCCTCCTCCTCCTCCTCCTCCTCCTCCTCCTCCTCCTCCTCTTCCTCCCCCCCCCCTCCTCCCCCTCCGCCTCCTCCGCCTCCTCTTCCTCCGTTCCTCCTCCTGCCCCCCTCCTCCTCCTCCTCCCCTCCTCATCCTTCTCCTCCTCCTCATCTTCCTCCTCCTCTTCCTCCTCCTCCATTCTCCTCTTCCTCCTCCACCTCCTCATCCTCCTCATCCTCCTCCTCCCCTCCTCCTCCTCCCCCTCCTCCTCCCCCTTTTTTGCGCTAGACCGACCTAAAGTTCCCCTGTGGCGCTCATGACATGTAAAAGAAAAATGCAGCTCGGGTCAAGATGCACCTGGCAGGCGCCGCGGAAAATGAAATCATAAAAGACAAGGTCAAGAATAGTATGAAGAGTAAGCGCCCGCCAGGTCCTCGAGACAGGCTCTACCCTTAGTAACCAAGCACCCCCGACAGTAAGTAAGACCTATCCCCTATGCGTTCATAAGTAGTGCCTCCTCGGATGGCAACGAACCACAAAAGAATGCAAAAAGCGACGAAGTGCCTGTGGCTGTCCTATGGTTGCTGCCCAGGGCTTAAGGTTGCTCCCAAACCGTCGGCAAATCCGCCCCAACCCCCATCATACACCCCTATGAGACCCGCACGGTCTACGTTTCAGTGTATGTGCCATCTGGTGGCACAGGAGAACACGCTGCAATGGGAATAAATTTTGGCTGTAGCACTGTGATGAAGAGATGAAGGAGGGGGGTAGTTGTCAAGGACGAAAAAAATCGAAGAGTGATGAGTGATGAGTGTGGCTGCTGAGGATCAGCAGGCAAAAAGTGCCAGATACATGACTGAGTGTAGCAGTTGTTGGGTTGCTGTCCAGGGCGCTTGGGATAACACCAAACCACATTGGTCCCAGGACCCTCGTGTTTTGTGTATGTATTATCGGGCTTAGCACGAACCCATTGGTATCACTGCGTGCTGGGTTGTTCTTAAGGCTGGCCTGTGTTTAAGTAAAGGCTGGCCTGGAGGCAGTACTGATTAAATGTACCAAGTAGTACATGTCAAATGTGTGCTGTGATCATTGGCAGCAGAACACTGAGGTATTGGGCGCCAGGCAAGATAATAGCAGTTCTTGGAATACTGCCCAGGGTTTTGGAGCACCCCAAACCTTAGAGCCGGAGGAGACGGGAATGTAGGAGGATAACCCGACGAGAGGTTTAGGTGTGGCTGCTGAGGTGCAGCAGGCAAAACATGTCATAGTATGGCCGATCAGAGGAGCAAGCGAAGTACAGGCCAAAAACGAACCAAGTGCGGCTGACAGATAATACGTACTGCTGCAAGGATGGTATGCAGCTTGTGCACCACAACAGCACACGTGGGCAAGTTGCTCACGTGTACGGTGTGGGACAACAACGAACAAGCAGCAGCTTGTATGCACTTCTGTGTAGACCTGCCCGTGCCGGCAGTCACCCCCCCTCCAACAATCCACATGCAGGACGCGTTGTGGGCCTGCGATGTCCTGATGGAACTGCTGGCATAAGCAATTGACGAAGATGCGGTCGAAATGCAGTATAAAAATGGGGTCGTACCCTGTCTGGGGACCCAAGTACGCACAATGTGTTGACTAGCGATGGCGGGTGTTTGCACTGGCCCCTCAAATAGCAAAATGTAGGGCTGTCCAAGGATCTTAGTGGGGTCGCGCCCTGAATGGGGACCCAAGGGCGCACTGTGCTGGCTGGAATGGAGGGCGTCCTGGCACAAGGCCCCTAAAAAGTCACTAGCAATGCATGGGCTGCGACGCAAGGTTTTTGAGGCGGACCCCAAACCCGCGATGATTGAGCAAGGATCTGACGATAAAGTATGAAGGATCAGAGGGAGGCAGGATAGACGTAAATGCGGACAACATGTACTGTAAAAGGCATAACGCCTGGTTCTCTGAGTGGGGTCGTACTTTTGCTGGGGACCCAAGTGCGCACGGCTTCTGGCTGCGACAGGAGGGTAGTCTGTAATAGGGCCCGTCACGTGTAACTAGCAATACCACAGGCTGGGAAAGTTTTTCTCCGAACGACTCCACATGGTCCAATGCCGCATAGCAGCAAGAATTGTGATCGATGATTGCACCATGTGATAAATTGGCCGAGCACACTGCGCTCCCGATGTTCATGCCCATTTCGCCTGTTATACGGGTCGCACAATAGTGGGGCCGCATCGTCACACATGTTTCCGCCCACTACGTGTGTAAATGAATGACATATCCACTTTTGTGCACCATGTGACAAAGCACAATGTGTCTCGGAGCGTCCGGGGCCCACGGCGACGAAGACCACCACGACGACGACGAAGAATTTTACGACCACGACGACGACGACGGCAACGACAACGTTGACGTGCGCTGTCGCCCGAATGCCGGCCACTCCTTGGCTCGCGCCTCATCGCTGGCTACTGTCTCGGTCTGGCCGACCGCTCTCCCTTAAGCAAGGAGAGGCCCCCAAGGCGGCGTTTCCCCTCTTCGGGAGGGGACGTGCTGGATGGGAGACAACGCCACCCCCTCTGAACAGACTGCTGTCGCCCCCAAACAAACACATTTTTGAACAAGAACCGCCCGTTTGGGATACTTGTGCTTGGGCCGCCTAGTCAACCCCAGTTCCATACGCGCGCAAGCTGCCAGGTCGAACCATGGGACTGCAAAGACCCCGCAGGCGACGCTTGTCCACACCCGCGCCGACTCCGCCCCCAACCCAGGAGGACGTCCAAGCGAAGGACGCCCCCGAACTTGCCGAATCATCCACGGTGTGGGGACGCACCAAGCGAAACCGAACGAACACCAGCACAGCCAAGCACATTGCAAGGACGTCTCAAGCGAAATCGTGCCCGAACCAGGCCAAAACAAGGCCAAACCAGGCACACTGTGAGGACGTGTCACGTGAAACTCGGCCCAAACCCAGGCCAAACCAGGCAAATTGCGAGGACGTATCAAGCGAAACCGGGCCCAAACCAGGCCAAACCAAGGCCAAACCAGGCAAATTGCGACGACGTTCCAAGCGAAACGGGGCCCAAACCATGCCAAACCAAGACCAAACCAAGCAAATTGTGCGACAGTTTCAAGCGAAACTAAACCCAAACCAAAACAAACAAAGGCAAAGCCAGGCAAATTGTGAGGACGTCTCAAACGAAACCGGGCCCAAACCAGGCCAAACCAAGGCCAAGCCAGGCAAATCGTCAGGACGTCTCAAGCGAAACCGGGCCCAAACCGGGCCAAACCAGGGCCCAAACCAAGCAAGTTGCGAGGACGTCTCAGGCGGGGCGCGCCGCCCAACCAGGCCGAACGAGGTCCAACCAGGCCAAACCAGAAGCCAAACCAGGCGAATCTCGAGAACCCCCCAAGCAGAATCGCCCAAACCAGACTCCAGCCACTCGCCTTAACAAGTGGCACGCGTGCCATGGTTCTTGCGCAATAGGGAGGGGGAAGGGCGGGGAGCTGTCTGAGCTGTTTCGCCTTTCGCTCCCCGCGAGTCGCGCGGCGACCCCGCCGCGCCTGCCACCCTCGCCGCTCGCCGCCCTGCCTGCCA